TCATTGTTGGAACTTATTTCCTTTTTGGCCTTGTTCTTCTATTTTTTACTTGGAGTCCGAACGAATGGGAGCACATGGATTGGATGGGATTGGATGGGATGGGATGGGATGCGCAGCAAGTAGCACGCGGAGAGTGACAGAAGAGACAGAGGGCAGGCAGAGAGACACAAAAGGTCAAAGGTACATGCAAGGCAACAACAGAGGGGCAGAGTTGAGTCGAAAGTTGGGTCCACGCCCCCCAGTCAGTCAGTGGGAGAAACGCGTGGGAAGAAACAAGACTCAACTCAACCACGCCCCCTCCCATTCCAATCTAAAAGATGACCGGAACGCATCCCCATAGGACGATTGGCTGGGTTGAGGAGGAACCCCAAGGATGATCATCCTGGGCCAAGCTTGGGGACTTACTGGAAACGGATGACCGTCTTGTCTCCTCTCCGTCTGTGTCTCTGTCTCGTTCCTTTTTTTTTTTGGGGTGGCTGCGAGTTTCGCTTCTCCTCTCGTTTTCTTTTCTTCTGGTTCTGTTCGTCTGATGTCTCACTTTTTTTTCTTTGGGGGATCCCACTCGCACCCACTAAAACCGTCCCATAGAAACGGGCCGTCCGGGGGGCGTCCTGGAGCGCTCGAGACGAAGAAGCCCTGGCACGCACACCCCCCGAACCTGAAGCCTGTACCTGTACCTGTACGCACATACGTAGACGAGGATGGGTAAGTAGGTAGGTATCCAGAAAAAGTGTGCCTGGCCGTTTGGGGTCATCGCCTGTGTGTGTTGCCATGGCCCCCACGTGGCAGAGGCTTTCTGGAAGGGAAGGGGGTGATGATGCATGGAAGCGAAGTTGTTCTGTTCTGTTCTTGGGTATTTCCTTCTCCGTATTTAGTGAACTTGAGCCAGCAAGGGGTGGGTACGACCCGACATGGTTTCTTTTTTAGTCCCCATGCTGGCTGCACAAGGGCATAGGCAGGAGCAGTGGGCAGTAACAGTACCTAGTAGGCAGTAGCAGTAGACTGGATGACTGGTAAAAGTTAGCAGTAGTAGTGTCGTGCAAGGTACCGTGAAACGTGGTTTCTAATAATTTCATTTTTAGTATTTAATAAACAAGACGGATAAACTTGTATGTGTGGCTGGTGAGGTTAGTAGTGAACCTGAGCTGGGCTAAGCAAACGAAGAAGAAAAAAGAAGCCACTCGAAGCGAGGCCAATTTCCAAATTTGGAATCTTCCATGCCTGTTGCCCATTTACTTGTGTACAATGCTTGCTTGGTTGCCAATCAATCACACATGGGTACTACAAAGATCCCCCCAGGCGATGATGATGATGGTCATTGATGAGGATGACTGACGATGATGATAACACCATCCATCCCATCCCATCCAACCATGCCTTGGCTTCCGTTGCCGATTACCCTCCACCCTCTCACCTCGTCTCTGCCACACACACGGAGGCCTACACTTTCTTCTTGGCTCTTGTGTATTTTATTGATTTACAACCAATGCCCATTGATAATCACGGTTAATAAGCCAAAATGCAAAGGCAGGTCATCATCAAATAGTGTTCCCACCCCGTCTCGTCCAGTGTTATGTATGTATGTACCTACGTCCGTCGTGTATGGAACTGTATCATGTATGTACTGCCCACCCAGTAAGCGCGCCAAAGCTCATGAACGAGCCCCGGTGAGGGACAGAATACCTACAAGTATCAAGGTACCTACCAATGACCAAGACACCAAGACAAGACATACAGACAGACAGACAAAACACACCCAATCGCCCGGGCAGGGATAAAAATAACCGGCCAATGAAGCACAAACTACCGAGTCGAGGCGGTGCACTGCGTGATTAGCCGTTGACTCGGTTTGTCTTTTTGTGTGCTTACTGGAGAGATTGAGCGAGTGACTCTTTTTCCTGCTAACTAACCTATTGATACACTGCGACTACTGGCGACTACTACTACTACACACTTTTACTTGTACTTACTTGTACTAGGCAACATACAGGGACACGTTTGGAAAGTCAGACGGTTTAGGCAAGGGTGGTGGCTAGAAAACGGGAACCTTCCATCCGTAAAAATCAAGTAGCACATCCATCCATCCATCATCATCCATGCTTCAGCCACATCGCATCGGGAGTGAGTCAGCAAGAAATTGAGGAGGAGCGAAGGGAGGGAGGGGGAGTGGTGCGTGCAATGCAAAGCCCGTCGCTCTGGTTTGACTCCTCTTACACGCATCACGCATCCCGCACGACACGGCACGAACGAACGAACGAAGAAGAAGAAAAGAAACCGGACGCGCATACGCAGCCTGCAAGGCGATCAAACCGGAAACAGAAGAAAGAGAAAGCGAACGGTTAAAGACACCATCCATCACCTCACCTTCTGGCTCGAGGATAGTATTGCCGCAAGCATGCCGCAAAGATGCCGCGTGTGAGTGCGATGGAACAAAGGCATCATCTACACATCAAGGGACCTGGAACAAAATGGAACGGAATTTACATGCAGTGAACCTTGAATAAAACGTGGCAAAGACGTTCCGTTTCAACCTATTACTAGAAGATTCGTCCGAAGACTTGTCTCTCATCCGGTAAGCAAAAATGGGGAGGAGGAAGACGAAGAAGGAGGGGGCGTGTTGGAGATTTTGGGGGGAACGATATCCGGACCCATGATTTTTACCCCGTAATTACTAGCCTCTCGTCATGGATTCCAACAAACGCTGCAAGTTGTGTTTCATTTAATTGACAGATGGCCCAGATTCATGGCCCACGCGTTTCCCAAGCATCTCAAATTAATTCTTTCCAGGGGGGACGAGAGGGGAGGGGGTTGCACTGCATGCATCTCGCCTTCCATGTCTTGCTCTATAATATCTACCAGGTATGTATTGTATGTAGGCTACCTTGCCTTGCCTCTCTAGGCAGGGTTCGATTGTGCAGATTACCAACTAACCTACCTAGGGGAGAGTCCATTTGTAAGGAAAACATGCCATGCTTGCATACCCATCACCATCACCATGCAAAAAAGAGCCTGGGCTTGTGCGACGGTGACGTATTTCATCTCCCTTCCTTTTTCTTTCTTTGGCCATCCTTATTAATCATTTACCTTGCTCTCGGCTACGTTTCAGACTTTGATACGAGTCATTCCCTGTCGGCTGTTTTTTTGCCCACCGTTCCTCTCGAGGGGGATGGGGGGAGGGGGGTACACGCCATTCTTAGCAAGGGGAAATGAGAGAGACACACTTCCCGCTTGGCGGAGACGACCGAAGCCGGAATTCTCTTGCTTTCTTACGCCTCCGGAATATACGAGGCATAGAGCGGGCGGGCGGCGGGACATGCAAAGAAGGATAATTCCGTGAAGAGAGGGAGAAAGACAGGGAGTCGGGCAGAAAGAAAGAGAGAGAGAGAGAGAGAGAGAGAGAGAGAGAGACGCCAAGTAAGGGCACATACATGAACTATTTCTTGGCGGGCGAGTGCCGTTCATTGCGCCTCGCTGTGCATCTGCATCACCAACCGGGGCAACAGGTCAGCCGCGATCTCGTGTCATTTCTACTCTGCAGATGCGAATGCTTCCATTTTGCTTTTTTGTGTCTTCTTTCATCCAATCGGCCTGCCGATGCAACGTCATTGCTTTTTTTCTTCCCTTTTTTTCTTCACTTTCTTACTTCGGAAACGAAACGATGAACCATACCGCCGGTAGGAGGAGCTGCCGCAGCTGCAGGATCAGTCTGTCGGTTTCCAAGACCAGGGACTCGGAAACCAAATATCCTGGCCGAGACAAGGCTAAAGGGCACGAGCTTTGATGAGCAAAGGAAAGATACGGTGAAAACACACAGAAAAAGGACTCTCTCGTGTGTCCAAGCTTTTTTTTTCCCAAGGTTGACTTTGACGTTTTTCTAAAAATGACAGAGTCTTCGTGCATATGCGAAGCGCGCGCGATCGATGGAACACACGCCCCCTTCCCTTCCTGTAGACGACTCATCGAAATTACTCGAATCCGAGGGAGCGGATAATTCAGATCCCCCTGAGCGTTCTTTTTTCTCGTCTTGTCTTGGCCTGCATATCCTCTTTTTTCTCTCTCATTTTCCAAGGGTACATGTAATCTTTCCTTTTTTTCCTTCCCTTCCCCAAACTGGTGGCTGGGGGGCGATGGAGATTGTTGGTAATAGGACTTTGGGGGAACCGTGCCAATCGCCTAGGTACTGCCTAGTGATCCCCTCAACAAACTCATGTCTAAGCTTTCTTTCCCTTGCCCTCCCCCCCATCTCCCCCTTATTTCGGTAAAATCATGTCATATCATACGAAGAGAGAGAAAGAGAGAAAAAAGTCAGCCAAAGATGGGTTGTTGAATGAGCATCTACAAAGGTGAGATGAAATGTTTTGCTTTTTTTGTTCAAACGGGCGCTTCGCGAGTGAACGGGCCGTCCCGCATTGTTGAATTTGTAGCTATTTTTGCAACCAAAAAAACAAGGCTCTATTTGTTTGTTTGTTTGTTTGTTGGGGCCCGTCCAAATTTAGAGTTGTTGACGATCCCCCCTCCCTTTTGTTATCTACACACGCGCGCAAGGAGGCCCAATTCAGAAACCCAATCTGAGTAATGGCTTAGAATAGAAAGGTTGGTTAATGATATGGGATGATCTTTGCCATTTCATATCATCTGATGGAGGCTGTTGGCGAGGTGCTGTGACGGGGATAGCTTGATCGAGCAGATGTTTATAAGCTACCCTAGACATTTTGCGGGACAGGACGTGGTTTTGTTACTGCATCTCTTTCCCTTGGCTTCTCGACTTGCAATGATAAAATATGAAGAAGAAGAAAAAAGTGTAAAGACTTGCGCTACAAGACAATAGTTTCATGTTAATCATCAATCTCCTTATTGTCAAGGGTATTATGTGGTTGAGACACCACCAACGCAGCTATTTCTGCACCCTACGCGAGAACGCACCACCGCAAGACCATGCACATCCTCCTCCTCGCACCCTAAAACCCTCATGGCGATGCTCGTCGCCAACCAATCATCAAGGGCGGGTGGTCTAGTGGTATGATTTTCCCTTAGCATCTTTTCACCTAGCAACAGGTGGATGAGCATGGGAGAGGTCCGGGGTTCAATTCCCCGTCTGTCCATTTTTTTGCTCAGGAGGTACAATAACATGATATTTTTTTAAAATCAACTTTCATTTTATTGATCCTCCACATCATATTCGTAGTTTGATTTGTGTTTCATGTGGGTGGCTTGTGGAAGTGCCATCATGTACAAGTCCTTGTAGTATATACATGCAATGGGCCATACCCCAGACACTAATCTCGTTTACATCTCCAGAGATTTGGCCATGCCCTCCCAGAACGAACACCTGCTCACCTGCGCCTGGGGCACGCTCTCGACCACAGTGTTGTTATTGTTGATCAGCAGCCTCTGACCGCCCGCCTTGCCGTTCCACTGAGGCCAGGAGGTCGATCCGCCAAACGCATACGTATTCGGGTTCAGAGATCGCACAAATGAGATGTAATAGCCCTGAAGGCGGTTCACGTTGGTCTGGTCCGAGTTTTCGTAGCCGCCCCCGAAGATTGCGCCGAGGTCGAATCCGTGCGGCACGCCAACGCCCTGGTTGATATTGTTTTGAGTCAGGACGTTGAACCGGTACGTCCAGACGGGCAGGCCCGCGCTGGTGAAGTACTTGCCAAAGTTGATACCGTGGCATGTGATGAGGACATCTCCGTAGGCAAGCGAGGCGGCCGCGAACCACGAGTTGTGGTTGTTGAAAGGGGGCGCGACGTTCTGGGGGTACTGCTGCGTGATGGACGCGAGCTGGCTGCTGGACAGTCGTGGGTAGTTGTTCTGGAAAAAGGTCTGCACGTCGGCCGCTGAGTTGGCGTTGGGGGCACCGAGGGTGGTTCCCTCGTCCGTGACGTCTCCGAAGAACATGGGCACTTTGACAAACTTTCCCGATTGGAACGCTGCATATGAGGTGGTTTGGAGGAATACGCCGTCAACGCACGGCGTATAAGGCCATTGAGGCGAGTTGGGACGGCCGGGGTAGGCGATTGGCACGTTGAACCGCTGCAGCGATGTCGTGTCAAGTGACCGCAGACAGGCCAACGTGTTGGAGTTGGAGCGACATCCAGCGTTGCTGATCAAGGCATCGTACTGGAATTGAAGCTCCGAGACGGTGAGCTGAGAGATTTCTGGGAGGGACTCGAATGCAGCCCCGACGAAAAGACCCTGATCTTTCCCCCAAAGGAGACGAGATGCAGCGAGGCCGATTCGGCGCCTGCGCTCTCGCCGTGGAGGACGACGTGGTTCGGATCGCCACCAAACTGGGCAATGTGCTGCTTCACCCACTTCAGCGCAGCCAGCTGATCAAACATGCCCGCGTTCGCCGTCCCGTTTGCCTGGATCTCCTTGCTGGCCAGGAAGCCAAAGATGCCGACGCGGTAGTTGAGGGTGACCACCACGACCTTGCTGCCGGAGTTGGCGACGGCCTGGCTGCCGTCGAGTGAGGCCGACGCCAGGCTCAGAAAGCCGCCGCCCTGGATGAAGATCCAGACGGGAAGCTTGGAGTTGGCGTTTGCGCCGGAGGGTGTGAAGACGTTGACGAAGAGGCAGTCCTCGCTCTGGCCTTGGGGCGAAATGCCGGATGAGGTGCCCATGCAGGAGTTTCCGAACTGGTGTGTATGTATTAGTCTCACGCTTTTCCCACCACTTACACGTTTCGTCAATGGATCTTACCTTGGAGGCATCTTGAGTACCGCTTGTTGCGGGTGGCGCACTCGGGGTCTGCCATCGCAAGTTTCCCACCGGCGGTGCGGCATATCTCATTCCCAGAAACTTGTTGACGCCATTTGAAGCGACGCCCTGGTACTGCGAATACCCCAGGTCCACGACGGGCTGGGCGACCGCCCTACCGAGAGATAGTGGCGCGAGGGCCAGGACGAGGGCCTCGTACAGACGCATTAGGAGGAGGAGGAGGAGCCTGGTTGGAAACGAGTTTTCTCTATGGACGGTTTGAGGGGGTGGTGAGATCAGACGGGCTCGACCGGTGTATCACAAAGACTTTCTGCTGCAGTCGGCATCATGGCTTCGGTTTGCGGACGGATCATTCGGCCGATATATATATATCTATATATGCATTCTCCTGTTCCGTTTTGCTTGTCAGAATGAGGCACTCTGACATGCATGTAATGAAACATATATCAGAAACCGATTAATTGCCGAAGAATCAAGGACTTGTTTGGGCTCTCTCTCTCTCTCTCCCTCTCTCTCTGGCATATAACCACCCCAACGCGGGGTACATTGATTAAAACCAAGTTGTGCCGAAATCTCGGGGTCGCATCTGCGTATGAAAGAGGAAACTCTGGAGGCTGATCTGAGCCGGGGGGGGAATGCAAATGTAACAGAGGTTGGCGTAGCAATTTTTCTCTCCCTATATAGGACATACGGAGTTGAGTTGTGAGAGAGTGAAGGAGCGCCCGTTTATTTTGGCCGGCTAAATTGGACCCCAAGTTCTTACAGTGCTCCTGCCGCTTTTTATCAATGGAAGGTCCAGCAGGTGAGGAAGGAACATCGCGCAAAGGAACTTGCCGGAGAGGCTTATGTGAGAAGAAAGAGGTGGCTGATGTGGCGTAGACGCTTTCATACAATACAATGCAATACAACGTGATGGCATGAGATTGCGAATATCAAAGGGTGGTGGTTTTTGCATTATCATGAGCCGCGATAAATCATGTTCATTTTTGAAGAGGCATGAGGAAGGGACATTGATCAACTTACGTGGAGGGAAGGGATGTTGGGATTCTGCGGACAGTCAAATGTCCCGACGGGTTTGATGGCACCACCGGCAGAACAAAGATCTGTGACGCTGACACCATGAAACCATGCCTTTTCTCAACATGAGTCTTCAAATGAGCGGAAAAGAGGATAAATGTACAGAAATTAGGCTATAATGTATAGTTTTCTGTTTAAAGCGAGTAAAAGGACACATCTGTTTCTTTCTCTCTTTATATCCATCCATACGAGGAAATTTACACGACGAGACCTGGCTGTTTTACGTTGATACCCATAACTTTCTCTCTTCCTCTCTCTCTCTCTCTCGTATGCAAAGCATAGGCCCCCCTGGTAGAATCAGGCACCGTTTTTTTTTATATTTATTTTTATTTTGCAAGGATGTACCTTTAACATAATAAACGTTAAGATCATAAAAAAAACCGTGGGGGACTTGCTTTAGACCGCATCGGCTGAGATTGATTCAAGGAGATTGCCGGCGGTATTTGTTTTCCGTGCTGGGCCCTAGAGGGTTGTGGTGATGTGTTCCATGGGTGTTGTCTTTGAAGTATACGCGCCCTTCTTCTGTATATTTTTGTTTGTGGTGTTTTCTATCGTGCAAGATGACATGTCTGGTGTCTGGTGTCTGATGTCTGATGTCTGATGCATAGCCTATTGTCACAAAACATGCAACTGTTGATTACCCAGTAGCAATAAACCATCATATCTTCTCACATCTATCCATCCATGCCTCGGTGAGAAATTTGACTGTAGATTGGCAGCCTTGAGCTTGAGCTAGCCTCACCTATAAATATTGGACCCCATTCCCAGCTACCAAATCTTACCGCCATCGTGAACCATTCGCAGCTTTCTTCTTTATTTTTTCTGAGAATACATGCCTCTCATTCGTAGCAAGCAGAGACTCAGGCTGAAGGATAAATGTGAGGAGTTTGGTTAGGGGGTGAATACTCCATGCAGGGCACAAAAGCATCTAGAACATGGCAAAGTAGGACAGCCGTCCGCCTCTTCTTCAGTAAACACCTTTTATCCCGTCGACCAACCTACGTAAAACACACAAGTGCTGGGGCAAAAATTCAAGTCATCACGAGCAGGATCAAGGAAATGAGAGATAATAAAGACATCTGACCAGTTCCTTGTGGCGGTAAGAAAACATACCCATCTTCTACAAAAACACCAAGACCATCGTGAGACATCGTGAACGGACAGAGGCACAAGCTCACGATCCCCGAGACCTTGCATCCTAGTATACACGCAGCTCCACCGGGAGCATCAATTTCAACCATTCCTTGTCCCTCCATACCACTCATCCACCCAATCGACGTATCTCATTCAGCCCATTCAGCCCAACAGCGTCTAGACCTTAGACCGCCCACGAGCCAAAATAGTGAGTTCTTGTCAAAAACCTCCCCCCACTCCCCAAATCGAACGGCTGAAAAGGTCTACCACTGTCAATATAGTACATAAATAGGGGGAGCCAAAGTCCGCCACGCCAGCTCGTGAGTGGCTTGAGACTACTTCAATGAAAGGGACGCACTGACATACTAGCGGGATGCACCTCCATAAGTCTTGCGATGCCCATGCCCCCCCCGGCTCTCGCTTGTCCCCCTCCAAGTTGCTGCAGCTGGTTTGGTTGGCAAGTTGGGCAGCACGGGGAGAGTTAAGCTTGTTTTTTCGTGCTACTTTTTAATTCTAATAATAATAATAATAATAATAATAATAATAGTCGCTACTTGAGGTTTATGTGATGGGGGCTACCTGGGCTAGATAGCTTGGCATTTTCAATGGCAAACCGCCACGGGGTATGTGATGGGGGGAACAGGTTGGCTTGTCTTCTTGGTGCGGCTGAACAGGGCAGACTGTGCAATTCTGCCTTATTATCAAGAAGCAAATCCTCGATTCCGCGTTGCTTGCAAGTTTCTTGTTTTCTCTTTTTTTCTATTTTGTCCAAAAAAACGACGCCGAAAGAAAAACATAAGCCGTTTGAAAGGGGAACAAAAGGCAGCCGAAAGAGAACAACAACATCCGCTTAATTAAGGCCCCCCCCCGACTTCCCCCCGTGCAGATCATCATCATCCTCCCCTTCCTCCGGGACAACCATGGGCTCCACTCCGGCTCCGACCCCCACAACCATCCCGGATCACGATGGAACAGCTCCCGCCGGCGCCCTGACGACCATCTTCACCCCTCCGGCCTCATGCCTCGACAAGTCCCGCTTCTACAGGACGTCGACCTGCGAGCCCCTGCCCGAGAGATGGAGGCTCTACTGGAGCGCCGCGTCGTATTACTCCCCGGGCATCTGCCCGTCCGGCATGCTCAGCGTGGCCACCCCGCCGCCGTTCTTCGG